ATGTACATATACATAAAAATAAGTAAAAAAATATAAATATACTTCAAACATAAAAATTATGGAAATGAAATCGGAAGATATACTGAAAATATAATGTTTATAAACTCAACATATGCTGCTCAATCGAAATATTCTAAAATATGCTCGCTATAATAATTCTCTTACTGTTCATACAATTGTTTCAAGCATGCACCTCTTTCACCGGTGATACAGCCGTCGGCGGCACCGACCTCGGCTGAAGCCCGCTGTCTAGCAACCTCCGCCACTTACGAGCCAGAAGGGACTCCCGCACAATCGTAGTTGTACGCTTCAGCTGCTGAATTTGTCTGTTGCCACGCCACTCCACCCAATCGAGAGGCGAGTGGAACCCCTCAACGCTCCACCGCCGACTATCATCACCGGGCTTCAGGCTTTGGGAGAAAAAAAAAATAAGATACCGTGGAAATACAAATGGAATTTGTAGAAGAGAGAGAGAGAGAGAGAGAGAGAGAGAAAGGAGGAGGAGGAGAAGGAGAGAAAGAAAAAGATTCCATAATACTCGAGAGTCATTTTTGGAAGCTGATAAGATTTCTATAAATTAAGCTAATTGTTGATATAATATATATCTAGTAAAAGGCAATGAAAACTAGATTTCTTGTTATATTCTGAATATTTACTAAAGGGTTTCATTTGTGTATTAAACTAATAATTGTTTGGTGTAGGAGGTAATTTTCTCATTAATATTGAGAGCATCCTACTGCATCATCATTGGTCACCTACATTATAAATTGTAGGCTAAAGTACACATATGCTTACTGATGTGGGATACTATACCTAAAGGAGTAAACCGGTCTAGTAAACAGAGCGAATAAACCGAACCAGCCACACTTGTCAAGCTAAATCCGAGTAGGGTGGCCGTGGTGGAACTTCAGAGGAATGGAAGCCTAGAAGATAGCTTAAAAGGGAATTCCGGTACTTGGATAGCAAGTCAATTCCTGGTCCATAGAGAGTCTAGTCGAAGATCAACCTGTAGCACAAATGTTCGTCTGATCGACCATTTATTGGACTCAAAGTAGTCAGCCGATCGACCAAGACCT